TACGAATTTCCTTGAAAATAAAACGGCAGATTTTCAAAACGTCCTCATATGTGAGATGATTTTGCGAGGTTATAGGTTGCTCGACCGGGTGCAAAGAAGCAACGTTGTCCGCTTTGCGAGAAGTCTAATACCTACTGCTCCATAATCGCGCATTTGAGAGAAGAGCACAATGCTGATGCCCACATTGTTTTCGTGCAAAAAAGCTCAAATGTCGAGAAAACTATCCATTGTACCGCAGAAGGATGCGTTTATAAGGGGATGAGCAGAAGCGCTGACGAAGCACATCAAAAGAGTGCCCTCTGAAAGCAGAACTACGAGGCTTTGGGCATGTCCCGTTTGCTAGAGTGCTGTGCCGGGCCAGGTCGCTCTAAATGATCACTGTAGGGAAGCACATGGGAGGGAGGGTTGTGCTATAGAAACAAAGATGTTCGCAAACAAAAGCGAATATGAGGTAATGAGAGGGGGAAGCTTTGTAACTTTATTTCTACATCACGGTTTTTAGTGTTGGAAAGCAGAATACGAGAAACACAGAATCATAAAATGGAAGAATAACGGCACATCTACTTTCAATGAGTACAAAACAACACATTAGATCTGTAATAGGTAAATAAAAGTCGTTGGAGCTCACTCACTACTCTGGTTTTTTAAGATCTGGCGTAGTGCGAAGTAAAGGGGGCAAGTCGAAGGTAGTAACCAAATACTGCACGTCATTCCTTAAAGGCAGCGTCCGGGCAAAAAGTCGATTTTGAGATTTTTTGCTTACCCGGGCCTATTCGCTATGCTGAATCCGAATCTCACCACTAGAGAGCGCGAAAACGGCGAAAAATGGGTCTAACGCAGGAGGAAAATCAGCAGGGGGCGGAGCGTCCGAGAGGGTGGATTCTCGCTTCCAGCTTCCGGAGCAATCTTCTCGGTTCCGATCTCAAATCACTCGTTTGTACTTGGCCGGTAGCGATGTTACGGCGACTAAAGGAACCGAGAAGATAGCTCCGGAAGCTGGGAGCGAGAATCCACTCTCTCGGACGCTCCGCCCCCTGCTGATTTTCCTCCTGCGTTAGACCCCCTTTTCGCCGTTTTCGCGCTCTCTAGTGGTGATTTTCGGATTCAGCATAGCGAATATGCCCGGGTAAGCACAAAATCACAAAATCGACTTTTTGCCCGGACGCTGCCTTTAAGGTAATTGATGTAATTTCTTACAAAACCTTTCAAATTTCTTGTTCAGGCAGAGATTTTTCACAACGGTGAGGTTAGCGTAAAGTTCTGCGGAGAGCATGTAGGACATAATGTTTCTGCTGCGCTTCTACCACTAACCGAAGCTGATAGACAGGCTATCGGGCATTACCTAAACTTGGGACTGGATGTCCCTGTGGTATTAAGGATAATCCGGAAGCAGTACACAGACGCAAACCACCGTTTGTACTGGACGTCAGCCGCCGACGTCCAGTACAAACGAGGAAAAGTCTTTCGCTGCAGCCTGGACGCCTTCATGAGGACGACATGCAGTCACTCGCCTTGAGATACAAATTGGCTGTACAGGAAGATGATTCCGGAAGGAAGCGCCGGCACCAAGCAATGGAGCCAATTTTCGCATCATCAACATCACCCCGGATCAAACTGAATTGATCAAAAGGTATAGCTATCGCGGTGTCTCCATAGACGACACACACTGCACCACCAGATATGAGTTGAAGCTTGCTACGATGATGGTGGTAGACGACTACGGACGTGGTCTACCAGCTGCATTTCTCTTAGCCAATAAGATGGGCAAAGAAGAGAGCGGTTTGCTGTTCGAGGAGGTGAAACTCGTGGATAACAGTTTTAAGCCACGTTTATTTTCTTTCTGATGATACTATGAGTTTCTGGAACGGGTTCCGAGCTGTTTTTCCGAAGGCTAATACAACTAAGCTTCTGTGCTCATGGCATTGTCAAAAAGCTGTTTTCGATAAATTGAGGCCCTTCTTCAGAGGAAAGAACGACGAAAGACGGCGGAAGCTTGGAGGTTGGATTATTAATGCATTTTCTAACAAATATCTATGTTTTGCTTTAGGATGGATCAAAATAATGTTTACACAGTCAAACAAGGTGAAGTGGCATAAAGCCAAATGCATGCTACTGAATTTACTTGCTGAATACCGCCGCGAGCATCGAAGGTGTGCTAATTTTGACGATTATTTCGATGAGGACGTTCTAGTAATAGAAGGTTCTGAAGAAAAAGTTGTGAGCTTGAGTGACAAGCGAAAGGAGCTTGTAAGAGGGTTACAAGAGGTGAGTGAAGTTTCCCTTTAATATGAGCTTATACAGTATCCTCCATCAGATCGTGGATCGGCTTTCGTTTTCGTGGAGTACTCGCCTTGCAGTGGATGAGAACCGGATAGCCTCGCTAATGCGTACTCGAGATTTACTGCTCCAAGCTGCTGATGATGAGTTAGGTGCAGGTACAGAACCAATCAACTATAAGCCCAAACAAATAAACTTTTTTCCAGGCGGGCTTCGAAAACCAGGACTTATACCAAGAAGAGAGTGCCCAAAGCGCGGCCGAAAGGTCTTAACAAAACAAACTCCAGTCAGGCGAATGGTCAAGGTCTTCTTATGTTGGTATTCCCACATCTCAACAAGAAATTTCTTCGTTATAAAAAACACAGCACGTGCAGTCTGAATGTGAAGCAGAATACACTGGCAACATAGTTGCAGATGAATTACATCTGCGTTCTATGTGATGACACGCAGCCGCCTTTAGAAGAACCGGAAGATGAACCTGTTATAGAAGGCGCGGACATCCTTTGGTGGTCATGCACGAGTTGTCGTGCATGGGTGCACAGAGATTGCATGCAGTGTAGGGACTGTCCCGTGTGTGATGGAGTATTTGAGCCTACGGGCTAAGAGCTTATACTTCATCACACTCAGGACGGCTCCTGCACTTCATCAATCTCTGTGCCACTAATCATGACTATCTACTCTAAGCTGGTAGCGTGACTGTAACTCAAGTTTACCTTGATATCAGTCTTAAAGGCCAATAGATGGTTGCATTTTTATCAGACTTTTTGGCGACGGCCTTTTGGCGGAATTTCATGATTCAAAGAACTAACTTCACTTGCGGTGATGGAGGCGGTGGCAAGTTTATCTATGGTGAACGTTTCAATGATGAGAACTTCACTGTACAACACTACGGTCCGAATGGTTGTCAATGCCATTGGTGGACCAGACATCAACGTATCGCAGTTCTGATCTGCACCTTCAAGACCTCGTGGCTTGGTGCACATCGTGTTCAGATAAGTAGTTGAAGAATGGGCGTTGTTCGCATGATTGAAAACAACACAACTAATTCCGGATCGCCGCTATCATCACCGACGGTGATGAGTTACCGTTGGCCGCTCCTTTCTAGAGCGAGAAACGCTCAACCATAGATAAAGTCGTTATTGATCATGATAAGTTTTCGGTCTCTGTGCCCTGTTATCCCTTCTGTACATCAAACAATTGCTTTCATCTCACCAATTCTGTGCTTTCATTTATGACGGGACTGTAATCATAATCAAGCGATATCCTTTAATGTTTATTGTGATGAATTATGAATTGAATTATGCAATGATAGAGATGTGTTACAATGCTGAAGCTCTAAATGGAAGCTGATTCAGATGAAATGGTTTCATAATCATAACTTATAATAACGGGCTAAGGGTTGTTTACGTTTGTCTTTCTGTCTGTGTGTGTGAATCTCTGTCTGTCACGAAATTCGTAGAGCGTGTTCCAGCCAACGTCCTGAGCCCAAGTTATGCATAGCGCAGGCTACCAGCATGTAAGCTCACTATACGCATGAGCGGATCCGTTGAGTGTATCCATTGCAAATTGCGCGTCAAACGGGTCCACTTGGCTTCTGGCCAGCAAATTTGGGTCCGTAGTACTACTTTTTGCAGAGTTAAGGATATATTTGACAAGCTAATGTGCAAGCCATAGAAGTTAGCCTAAAATAGTAATGAAAAGTCTACTACTTTACGAAAACAGCGCCAAAAAGCATTATGTAGGTTTTTCAAGATTTTACCTGATCGTTTGAGAAGATTTTTGCACAGAGATGTAGCCCACTATGTTTACTGTCCTTACGGCGACTACCAAGCCATAAAAATTCCAAAAACCTATTCGAATTTGCATCTGTTCTTCTGGGAAAGATTTTATCCATGCGAGAATACCGATCTCACTTGGAAAACCTCTACGAATGAGTAGTTGTTTGCGAGTTGTTCGTGATAGCCTACATAGCGCGAAGAGTTTCAATGTCATTATTATGCGGGAATGAGTAAGGCATGCACAATGTAGCGCCAGTGCGAGCTTCTGCGAAGCAGAGGTGACGCACTGGTTTATATATAATGCCATTATATAATTTTTATATAATGCCACCGTCCGAATCCGACATATAATGGTTTATGAATTTGGTGTATCAACCAATTTGGTGTGTTCAGAAAGTGAACATAAACCATTATATGTAAAACCATTATATTAACCTTTCGCCACGTGGCGGGCTGAACACACCAAATTGGTTGATACATTAACCAAACAAAATCGCTCATATTTCTCGCCGCGAAATACCTGGAGAAAATTGACAGTTTTATTCGATTTGTCATCACCTCAGCTTTCAAAGATATGTAGATTGCTGCTAGGGCATTTCGCTCCTATAGCTCATTTACGCTCTTCGCTTTACAAGGATGGGAGTAGCCGAAAGACCACCTTCACCTAGAGAGGGTCCGGCTCCCCCTATCGCGCCTATGCTTTCGTCTCGTCACACGGTAGATAGGTATTTTTTCTGTTTGAATAGGAAGAAGCTTTGCGGTAGAAAAACATACCAAGAGTAAGGTACTGTTGCAGTAGCGATAAGTATCGATGCAAGTACTCTAAAAACGAGCATCACAAAAGCTCAAATAGCAGATAGTAGCTTAACAGCGTCACAAAAAACCTCAAAAGTTCATCACTTATGCTGTGAGAAGATTGAGAAGAACTCGAGTTCAACGCATTTTGTCATGAGAAAAAGAGACATCGATTCCAAATTGACATTCCTCATTGAGACGTTGCAATAATGTTCTATGAGCATGCACTTCATAAAGTTCTTTATAGAAATTATGCTAGATCAAACGCACAAAAATTGAGCAACTATGTACCTCTTGAGCATACCATGCTCCATGGAGAATCATAAACATGAGCTAATATTAGGTAAAGCTGTGAGATTCCTGGAAAATGCTTGTTGTTATGTACAATAAATGCAATGTGTTGTTAGTATGGCTCAGATCCTCGACGCATCATTCTCTTGATTCGCGAGAAGGGCATGATTTTTGGTAAATAAGTTGCGAGTCTTTTCCGGACATGTGTTCCACTTTCATCGCAAGTCGTTTGCGAGCCTGAAATCATTGTGATTGAATCTTTAGAGTGTTAAGGAGATACTGCTGTCATTTTGAGTAGCTCTTTCAATTTTTTGCGAAGAGTGCAGATCAGCTGCTTGTGCCTCAAATATCTAATGGCTCGTGATGGAGAAAAGACACTTCTACCATATGAAGCGTATCAGATAATTATGTAAGATTTTTGAGTAGAGAGCATGCAGCGCATCTCGATACAAAGAGAAATCTTTGATTAGTGCAGAGAGGGTGACTCTGGGCCATAAGTTCAGTCAGAATTCTGAATGATGCCCTCAAATAAAGCTCATGAGGTACTTTCACCGGCCTCTTTTGCGCGCCTGAAAGTGTCCGGACAAGATTGCAGGGTTCGGGATTTTAAAGCCATGCGAAAATGGGCTCTCTCGGACACGCCATCGCGCAAGTGCGACGCCATAAAGTTCCACAAAAAGCAAGAAATCAAATCAAAAAGCTTGAAAGCTTACGCCCCAGGGGACGGGACTCTCCACCTGTCTTCGCCAATTTCGCGCTCTCTAATGGACTGTTGGATTCAACGCAGCGGACTTCAGATAAGCGTTTTCGCTGGAAATCAAGTTTTGCCGGACACTGCCTACAAGTGTAGCCGCTCAACTCAGGGCCGGTAGTAATCCCCCTGACCTGGCGGCATGTTTCGCCGTCAGGTCTATCATCTTTAAGTGAAGTCGGCGCGAACTGCGACCTCAAGTCTGTGCCCTCCCAACCCTTTCCAACACGTATTTTTGGTCGAGGAGGTCATAGTGACCTTAGGGAACCTTACTTGGCAACTGAGGGTGCTAAAAACCTCCCTAAACAGATTTGTAGAGGAAGGCAGGAGGTCCTGGCGGCAGCTTCGCGGACTGACCTGGCGGCATCTCGTCGAAATTTCAGCGCTGAGAGATGCCGCTAGGTCAGGGAGCGCGAGAAATAGCGTGCTCTTTTGAGAGGTTAAGGTGCCACCATCCTGACGTGCCCCTACCATGTCGAGGTGGTGGCACCTTGCTGGCGCCGTCTGCAAGTTTGGGTAGTGCGGCATATCACACAATTTACGTCGGGCGAAAAAATCAAAAAATTCTACTTTCCATCAAGAAACTATCATTTTTTTCATTATATGAGTTCTTCCTTTTTGAAACGACGATTCTCTTAGAGAGAAAAAATCTAGTAATGCCTGAGAACCATAAAGAACACTATTTTTTTGAAAATCCCTTCTAAATCTCGTTTGCACCGATTTCGCCCCTCTCTCGTTCATATCAATCAGCTGTTCTTTCAGGTCAAAGTCTCTCACGCAATGTATCGATCCCTCTTACAGGCGGCCACTTACCACTGCGTTCCTCCTATTGCTGGTGCAACCGTCAATGATTGACCGAATGGTCGAATGGTTAACTTGGAGGCACTTGAAGTTAACGCGCTTAGGTTCGACCGCGCGTGAGGTAGCAGTTTTGAGCATTGAGTGCCCTGATAAACATCATTGCTCCATTTAAGGCTAGGAAATATGCGACTCTGTGTTGAATGCGCGCTAGAAGTTGCTCAAAAGCTCACTCTCGTTCACATTTGTTCGCAAATAAGTGAAGCAATTTGGAGCTAGCGTTTGAAGCCCTCCAGACATGCACATCCCATAGTAAAAGGCCACTACCGCAGACCACTTTAACTTTTTATGGAACTCGATTCTATCATTTACGGAATATGCCTCCGGCGCAATTCAGCACCATCACGATTTACTTGAATCCGGCAAAATCATGCCGATGAAGAGTTTACGAAATGAAGTGCGGACATACAAAATTCCAAAAATTATTCGACAAATATCTCATAGAAGTATGAAGAGTAACATACTGTTTTCGCTAGTGCCGTCACCGTCAGCAATAGCAGCGATCTCGATAACTGGTACATTGAGTGAGTTGGGGCTGATGTGAAAAGTATCTGTCCTGAACATGACAGAGTCTCTATTGGAAAATTTCATACACGAAAAAAGCAGTGAAATCACCTCATTCCCGCTTTATCATAATCTACACCGACATGGTAACTGGATCTTCTGTAGCGCATGCTGTCGTCCACCGAAAACAAGAATGTATAGAATAATTTGTGGCTCCGCAACTCGTAATCATAGTTCTATTTCAAATACGGACAACAAAGTCGTTACCTTCAAAAGCGATGAGGGATTCAGTTCCGTAAGTGCGATATATGTCTCTGCTGTCTTTATTAACGACAAGTACCCGTATCCCTCCGTTGACTGTAATAATCTTTATTGTTGCTATGTAGTCAGCTTAAGATAAGTATGGAGATCTGAAGTAATTGCCTTCAAATTTGGTGAGGAACTAAGTCCCGTAAGTGTGATGTATGGTTCTTTTGCCTTTATAGGCGACAACCCGTGTCCCTCCATTGACTGCAATAATATTCATTTATGTTGGCACAGTTAGCTGAAGGCGTTTTAGACTCCAAAAGAATTGCCTTTGAGAAGACCGAAGATAAAAGTTCCAGTCTCGTCTTTAGAAGCGACAAGCACCAATATGCCTCTGCTGACTGTAATGATCCGCATTTATGCTAGCGCATAGCTGAAGATAAGTATGTATATAAAGATCATTTCATTTCATCAACATTAGTTTTATAGACTACTACAGTTGAAAACTATTGCCTATCGCAAATCGAAATAGTTAATATTGGAGCTGCCTCGAACTCCTTTCTTTCCAGATCCAATCTTTAGAAGTTTATCGGATTTCGACCGAAGCTGCTACGATAGAATTGCACGCTATAGACTAGATTTTGAAATTTGCATTATGGATGTCTCGACAATAAAGCTCGATGGCTCTGTGTTGATGCTCCATCACTGCTTGGTGTGCACCCTTATGCGATAGGTTGTGCTGCAGCACCTTCCCAACAACCCAATCCATTTTTAGAATCCAGTGGCGGAAAAGTACACTATTTTGAGTGGAGAATCACAGTACTTCATTTAAGAAGTAGTGAAAAGAATCAGTAACAAACAAAAAATGTGACTAAGAACAAAATGGAAATTTTCCTAAATTATTGCGAAAACTCACCTGTTCCAATAATGTGGCAAAGATGACCAACAGCTCTTCGAAGGTTGGCCGCTTCTCTGGTAGTTTGTCCCAACATCGGTTCATTGTCTCAGCGCTTAAAATATCATCATATGTGCATTAATGAAACTTTTAGCTCGGCTATCGTTTTCAGCATTACACTTTATCGGAGGCAAGCAGTGGTCGTTTTGGTCTGTTGCCAGCCTCCAGATGAGAAATCAGATTGGTCGGCTCAATATCGTGATACGGTGTCTCGCCCATAGAGTACATCTCAAACAGCACTATACCATAAGACCACCTGTAAAATGTTAATCTTGACGTTGAACACTGATCACCACTCATTATAGAAAATCACTTACACATCGCTTTTTACAGAAAACATTTCCCGCTGAAGACATTCAAGCGCCAGCCACTTGATGGGGAGCCTGCCTTGAGCAGGTAAGGAATCGCCTGACGCCAGGAAAGACAGTCCAAAATCACTGATCTGAATGATTCTGATAGTGGGATCAGTCTGAGGCTGAAATTGCTTCAAACTGAAGACTTGAAATTTTGGTGCATAGTGCTCACGTGGTTATACTCAGAAAAAAAATGTAAATTGAATGTTCTCAAAATAAATTTTGTCATTTCGAAAGTATTTAGCTTTTTTTCAAAGAAGAGCAACAATCCTCACAAAAGAAGATCCCTGGACGTTTTTGACTGCATTCGGTGCAGCTTTTCACTTTTATATTTCACTAGCTGGCTTACCCGGCTCCGCCGTATGTTCCGAATAGAAAATTCCATTTCTTAACCGATCCGGGCTCAAATTTTGCAAAAAATCGATAAAATCGATATCGATCGATACGAAAAGTAGCCTATGACACCCGCCGGGGCCCGAAGTGTATGTGCGCCAAGTTTGGTCCGGATCGGTTCAGAAATGGAATTTTCTATTCGGAACATACGTACAGACAGACAGACATACATACATACAAACAGACATTCAGCTTTATATATAAGATTTCTTCATTACAGTATGGCCAACCTAGTTCGTACAAAATGGTCCAAGAACTTTGATTCATAGTCTTGGCATGCTCAAATATCTTTGTAAGCACCGTCTACCCAAAATGGGATCGATGAGATTTTGATGTCCAATAGTAGCGGGCCCCCAGCTATACTTGCCCAACTAGCGCTGTCAAAAGTTGCTTCAATAGAGAGAAGATTGCTCTGGATGACGGATTCGCCAGATTGGCTTCTCCCGTTTGAGTGGCGTGACGTTCGGCCTTATCCGCGCGCACCCAACCAACCAACGTTCCGGAGAACTCGCCCCTGAGGGTGCATAGCAAGTGGTGCCCGGGCAGCCGGCTGCTGCCGCAGCCAGCCATCAGGGCTGGCGTTAGCGCCTGGTTGAGCACGTTAGCCATTTGAAACCTCCTAACCAAAGGTTTCCTCGCAACTCGCCGCGCTAAGGTGCGACGATTTGCGAGATATCAGCCTCAGAGGCAGCGCGTTATTAACATCTGCATCACTTTGGACAACAAAGAAAAATCTTAATTTACTGAGAACCATGGAACCGTTTTTAAAATCATGCAAGCCACAAAATATTAAAAATCTCACAGAAATAACACAAGCGAATAAATGTTTTTTTCATTGAAATTTGGACATCGAAATACAATAGATGTTAATTGAGGCTGTAATTACATACGTATGCGCTAGAACGATACTCTTCCTTCCACTATGCTACGTGGCATACTTCCATCTTCGGTGACCTGACCTACTAATTTATGACCTACTTTGGCTTATTTATTTGAACCTACTTTAAATTCCTCTGCCGCTTAGCATCACTAAATTATGATTTGCTAATTCTAATACACTTTTCTTATTATATCCAGAAGATTTTCTTATCATTTCGTCTCGTACGTTTTATCATTTCGTCTCCTCCGATTTTGAATCCCAGGAAAGGATTCTTGATAACTGCAAGATTTTGAACTTTGATTTATTTCAGCTTCTGGTTATTTTGAGGAATTTTTGTGACCAATTCCTTTTGGAAAACTTTGTTCTGTGTAAACTTGTTCATTTGCTTTATATCAATAAATTATAGAATTTTTGCTATTCAAAATGATATAGATGTCGATTATATCGCACACATCCAAGCCGTCACAGGGGTCGTGGAGGTCCGGGGTGAACACCAACTGCCTCTAGTCCTCACCTTTGTCGACTATGAAAAGGCTTTCGATAAGGTGGAAATCAACGCCCTTCTATGAGCCTTGATCGTCCAAAAAGTAGACCCCACCCACAAAAGAGCAATAGTAGACTGCAATACAGGATACACCATAACGATACAGCTGTTCGATCACCCGGTCTACATCCATATTGGAAAGGGAGTCCGTCGAGGCGACACCTTGTCGCCGAAGCTGTTCCTGCCGCACTGCAATGGTACATGCAGTCACACGATTGGGATAAGAAGGGTCTACGAGTGGACGGACGATACCTCTCGAATCTCCGTTTCGCAGATGATATCGTTCTATTTTCAAGATCCGTTAGCGAAGCCGAAGAGATGTTGAACGAGTTAAATGAAAGCGGGAGAAGGATAGGGCTCATAATCAATTGGACGAAGACGCAGTTCATGAGGAACAACTGTTGCAGCGAAGACCAGTTACACTTGGATGGATCACCGGTAGAGGAGACCACATCCTACGTCTACCTAGGGCGCACCATCAACATGAACAAGATATGAGGGACGAACTTAGCAGAAGAGAGAGAGCGGCATGGGCAGCATTCGGACCTTTGAGAGAGACTACAGACCATCTTGCTAACCCGGACGTACGTCCTCACCTTTTTGATGCTACACTTCCTCCAGCTCAGTGTTACGCAGCCGAAACTTGGGCTGACACTTCAGCAACTACGAAGGCGTTACGGTGCGAGGAAACCTTTCGGATGAGGTCTCAGACGGCTAGCATAAGTATTCTACCATATGCGGCGGCGCTGACGCCGGCTCTGGCGGCTGGCTGCGGCAGTAGGCGGCTGCCTGGGCACCACTTGCACGCCTCCCCTCGCCTTACAGTCAGGGCTCGGCTCGAGATGGCTTCCCCTTTAACTTCACTATGAAAGTACGACATCCTCCACATATATCAGAAAAACACACGAAAAGGAACGGAACAAAGCAAAACAAAAAACGCCAAATAACCATCAAACAAACGCAATGATATTCGTATTCTTGGGACTGGCGGCACAATGTATCTGGCGCGCAGCACTACGCGCCTGGAGCAGCGTTGCCGCCGCTATTCAAAATTTTCAGGGGGCTGTAGGCAGGCGGGAGGGAAGGGGTTTGAGGCGGTTTAGGAACCAATTTGTAGGGTTTGAGATGTAGATGAAAGTGAAGAAGGTAAACAAACTATGTGAGGTAGAGAAAAATTATGACTTTTTCCCTCCCACCACCTCAGGTGGCTTCCAGGTGGCTTGAAAGCCACATAACTTCGAAAGAAGTTGAGCACTCCTTCAGTTCACATAATTTTTTCGAAATTTTTCATACAATTCTAACTCCTCATTGTCCATCTACAGGGCTCCTAAATTGCAGAGTCGTTTGCACCAGCGGTCGCGCGACCGCGTCGCGCCCAGGCATTTTGCCGGCGCCGGCGCCATCGATCCAGGCGGCGCCATTGATGCCCGGGCGCGACGCGGTCGCGCGACCGCTGGTGCAAACGACTCTGCAATTCAAGAGCCCTGTACACAACTATTTAAGTGTCATTTCATTACTTCGCTGTAAACAAGCCCTTTGTTTGTTTGGGAGAGCAGCCGCCGGGAGTGCCGGCAGCGTGCCGGCAGCGTGCGGACTCCTGTCGAAATGCTATTCCGCAAAAAAGATATTCCCTTTGCTTTTTCTCACAGAAACAAAATCCAGCTGCTTTGTAAACCACCTGTGCCGGGCCCTGCCTACGGATTCTGTGGAACGAGGATTGTTGGAGTTTTCGCGGTTTCTCGACTTCAAATTCGGAATCAAGGACGTGAGAGGGCTCCGGGCTAACCCTGCAGCATACAAAACAAATTTCTTCCATAACTTGCTTTTCAAAATTTTTGAAGTACCTTTTTTGATGTTATCAAATTTCTTTGGTCGACAAATCGGCGAGCAGGTGTTATCCGATGGAATAACGACAGATTTTGTGTTTTCAATAGTAAAAACTTTTAGCAAAAACTAGGTAACAACACAAGAAATTCAGTGCCTTTTGTACTTCAATTTTCTGTCTTCTTTCTAGCAGGTTTTTGTTGTTTTCGGTTGGCCAATTCTTTGCAGATAATTATAATTTATGTTTGTGAACGCGTCTGGACAGTCTGCTAAGATTTAGTGATTCTGATAGAAAGTGGCAAAAAATTATAAAAGAATTATTTTATATAGATATTATGTTATGAAAAAAAGAAAAGTTGTCTTGTACTCTGTACGTTTGCTCTGTCCATCCGTTATCTAGACTACTTTGGCGGATCGGCACAAAAATCAAATCAAAAAGCGAAATGAACGTGGAAGAAATCGTGGGAAATAGCCCTGACCACTGTGAGAGCTCGGTTGAAATCAAATGTGGGAATTACCATCTAGAAGTGGAGGATAATCTGCATCGAGCCCCAAAGGTGTTCGAGTTGATCTGCGGCAAGTTCCGCTTGTTTAAAAAAGGGAAATTTTTAAACGCCTAATATGTATTGTTGTGTCCTCCGCGTCGGACACGTCGACTCTTCGTCCTGAGGTAGCACGCGAGGAAACAAAGAATATTTATTAGAAAATAATAGAGGACAGTAAAATAAAAGAGGCGATGAGTGAACAGACGAACTGACTAAGGCAATGAGGAGCGCCTTTTATAGCGCTCATTTCCCGCGCACTCTGAGGTTGCGATCGACTGCGCGAGTGCAGATCACTATGAGGCAACTGATCAGTACTAACACAACACCTCCCCCAGTAGGGTAGTTACAACAAAACTAGCCTACGAGAAAAACATGAACTACAACTACGAACTAAGAAATCGATCATACATAAATATCACTATCATCTAAACAACTACAAAACTAATGAAACAAACATACAATAACATACTATGGACTAGGTTGGAACCGTTGTACCGGTCTTCTCGTTCTGCTCGATCTCCGAAGCGTTGTCGGTGGCGTGGAGGGCTCGTGGCTTGATGTCGACGAATCCACGGGTACTGGCACATCGCTCGCGATCGCTTGCTCGGAACTCCCTTCAGCAGCATTGCCATTCCTCGATAGTGTGTCGTCTTCTGTCAGAACATCTAACAGTATCTTCAAAGCTTCGGATTGTTGTTGAAGTTGTTGTCGTACGGCGACTTGTTCACTATCGCTTCGATGTCGCAGCTGATTTGCATGCTTCTTGCATATCTCATCACCAACCATAACTTCATAATTGACACGTCCAATACGTCTCATCACGGTTCCTTTCACCCAGTGGAAGTGGGGTGGCTTCCACTGCTTAGCGTATACCAGGTCACCAACTTCGAAATCTTTTCGAACAACTCCATGCTTCTGGTCGAACTGATCCTTCATGCGCTCTCGCCTTCTTCGTGCGAGTGGGTCTTCTGCATCTTTTGTCATCGGTAATAACAGACTTAACCTTGTGCGCAAATTTCTGCCTAGAAACAATTCTGCTGGTGTCTTGTCGTTCAAGTTCGTGTTTGGTGTTGTCCTATATGCTTGTAACACCACATTTATAGTCTCTTCTGTTGGCCTCTCCTCCCCCTCTAGTTTCTTGATCCCGCGTTTCAGCGTATCAACGAAACGCTCTGCCTGTCCATTCGATTGAGGGTGGTACGGAGCAGTCCTTATATGCGTGATTCCACCTTCGTCACACATCTTCTCAAACAAGTCCGACGTGAACTGTGTACCATTGTCGCTCACTATTGTTTGCGGTAATCCATACCTCGCAAACAAGTTCTTCAAAGCCTTCACCGTCTTCGCAGCCGAGATATTGGTCATCTCGATCATTTCAGGCCATTTGCTGTATGCGTCTACTACTACCAAGTAGAAGACTCCTTGCATAGGTCCAGCGAAGTCGATGTGTATCCTCTGCCACACTCGAGTCGCGGATGGCCATGCTTCTAATGGTACTTTCGTCGGATTCTTGGCTAATTCCTGACATTTCGTACATCTTCGTACCAAGTCTTCGCAATCTTTGTCGATATTCGGCCAGTAGACGTAACTTCGAGCCAGTTTCTTCATCCTTACTATCCCTGGATGTCCAACATGCAGTTCTTTCAGAACATTTCCTCGAAGCTCCTTGGGTATCACAACCCTTTCGGCTGACATCAGACATTGCTCCACGATTGACAATGTCTCTCTTCGATTTCGAAAATGTGCCAATTCTCCGTTCACGTCTGGCCACTCCCCTTTCTTCACGTAGGTCATCACTCTTCGTAGCACTTGGTCCTTCTTCGTATAGGATCGCACATCTGATACCGTCACTGGCAATTTCCTTATACAGTTCTTCAACATGTAGTTTACGTCGTTTTCAACGGCAGCTATCACGACGTCTTCTTCGGGACTCTGATTCTTCTTCATCAACCGTGACAAGCCATCTGCTTGTCCAAACTTCGTAGTTCTGACATACTCTATGTCGAAGTCATATCCTAACAGGATTGTAGCCCATCTCATGAGTCGGTTAGCGGAGTAGACTGGAACTCCTTTCTTATCACCGAAGATGGCTAACAGTGGTTGATGGTCCGTCAGTAGCAGAAACTTTCGTCCGAATATGTACTTGTGGAATTTCTTGACAGCAAAGACAATTCCCAATGCTTCCTTTTCGATCTGCGAATAGTTCTTCTCCGCTTTCGTGAGAGACCGCGATGCATGTGCAATTGGCTTTTCGGATCCATCGGCATATCTGTGCGATATCACGCATCCAATTCCATAATCGCTGGCGTCCGCTGCCACGACGATCTTCTGTCTTGGATCATAGTGAGCAAGATTGAGCTCACTTGACAATGTATCCTTGAGTTTTTCGAAGGCTTCTTGATGTGTTCGTGTCCATTCCCACTTGGCATCTTTCTTGAGCATCGCGTCCAATGGCCCACGAAGATCCTTGATCTTTGGCATAAACGCTGCATAGTACGTTATCATGCCAAGAAAAGCTCTCAATTGATTAACATTCTTCGGCTCATCCATCTTCTTGATCGCTTCGATCTTCTCTGAGTTTGGCCTTCTGCCATTTCGATCTACTATGAAGCCAAGATATCGTATCTCTGGCTTGCCAAAAGAGCACTTCTCTAAGCGAATCCTGAATCCATAGTCGGCTATCCTTGCAAAAACAGCTAGCAAATTCGCCATATGTTCTTCTTCGGTTCTTCCACAGACCAGTATGTCGTCCAGGTAGGTTGCTACACCTTGCAAACCGCTCACCATCTTATTCATTATCTGTTGGAAGATTCCTGGTGCCGTCTTTATGCCAAAAGGCAACCTATTGTACTGGTACAAGCCTCTATGTGTGTTGATCACAACCAATTTCTTCGTTTCTTCTGATAACTCCACTTGCAGATAGGCGTCCGACAAATCTATCTGCGAAAATATGGTGCCTCCATTGAGCGACGCGAATATATCCTCCGGCAATGGCAAGGGGTAGTCGTATGATTCCAGCGCTTTGTTGAGTCCAGTTGAGAAATCAGCACATACTCGCAACTTTCCATTCGCTTTCCTAACACAAACGATGGGAGCTGCCCAATCACTATGTGTCACTGGACTTATGACGCTTAGTTCCAACAGCCTATCAAGCTCCTTTTCGACGGCTTCGAGCGCAGCATGGGGGACAGGTCTGCAAGCCTTGAATACTGGGCGAACGTTTTTGTTAACTCTCAAGTGCGCTTTCTCTTTTGTGCAGAGTCCTAGACCTTCTTCGCAGACTTCTGGGTAGGTTTTCTTTAGCTTCGTCGCGATGTCGCTGGTTTGCTCTGCCTTTACTTCGGCTACCATTCTGCTTAAGTGATAGGACATATCTTCGTTTTTCTGGATCCATTCTAATCCTAGCAGTGAGTTGTGGGGCGTCACGTATGCGTAGCCTTCGCTTCTGGATCCTTTGATTTCGTATTCACACCATAGCTTTCCATGGACTTTCATGGAGCCTCCACTAGCGTTCTTGACGATCACGCTTGTTTCCTCCAGCAGTGGAGCACCCATGCTTCTCCAGATTGCTTCGTTTAGCAAGGTGATATCTGATCCTGTATCCAGTAAGAAACTAACTGGATGACTATTAACTTTCGCTTCCACATATACGCGAGTCGAATTCACTTCCATCATCGCGTTCGCAATCTTCGCTACGCTGTGCACATGACGTTTCGGTTTCGTCCAACTTCTGTTCTTACTGGTGTCGCTGCTTCTGTGGATTCTTCGTTTCGAATCTTGCTGAACAAGTGCTTTTCTGTCCGCCACTTGTTCGCAATACTTCTCCTTGTGACCAGTCTTCTTGCACTTCTTGCAAAACCACTGCTTCGCTTTGCATTCCCTGGCAAAGTGAGCTTTACCACAGTTCCAGCATTCCAGCTTTTTGGGTTCCTCCTTGCTTGTTGCTTCGACAATTTTCGTGCAACCAGCTACAGTCTCGCTATCCTTCTTGAGACTGAGGAAGTTTTCGCACTCCAGATACAGTTCGTGTAGCGACATCTTTCGTCCAGCCTTGTACTCCTTGTCCAGTACGGCTATGAGTCGTTGCCTGATTTCGGCTTCTTTTTGGCTTTTCAGGCCAAAAATCCACAGTAAGCATTTTATGCCATCGCTGTCCAAGTCATGGATCTTCGCTTTTTCGCACAATTCGTTCACTCGACCGGTGTACAGGAGGTAATCTTCGGAATCTGCCTTCTCCAGTTTTAGACACTGGTACCGCATAGTGAATTCCGAAATCTTCACGTCGAACAGCTGCCTTAATGTTTCGACGGTTTCTTCGAAATTAATCGAGGTTACCTCCCTTGGTAACACATGCCTCTGGTATTTTTCGAAACTGTCCTTGTCCAATTTTTCGCAGAGCAGCCTCACCCTGGCACTCTCTGTGAGCTGCTTCGCATCTTCGACGAAGACTTCCTTGTAGCGTGCGTACCATTTGCTGAAACATTCGTCCGCTTCTGGGTCGAAGTTGAACTTTTCGATCCGATTGCTTAGCGCGGACATCATGTTCGGAATCTCCGTCGAACTGGTCTGGTTCGTGCCTCCGATGTGCTTCAGGAACATCTCCATCATCTCCTTTCTTTCTTCTTTGATCATCTCCTTAAAGACCATCATCATCTCCTGGAGGTCCACTTTCGCCATGTCGATCGATCAGTTCGTTAAGCTCTTCTCAGCTTCTTCGTCGACTTCTTCCTGGCGCGTGTTTCTTCGTTACGGCTACTTCTTCGCTAGTAGCCGCTATCCTGATCGCCACTGTTGTGTCCTCCGCGTCGGACACGTCGACTCTTCGTCCTGAGGTAGCACGCGAGGAAACAAAGAATATTTATTAGAAAATAATAGAGGACAGTAAAATAAAAGAGGCGATGAGTGAACAGACGAACTGACTAAGGCAATGAGGAGCGCCTTTTATAGCGCTCATTTCCCGCGCACTCTGAGGTTGCGATCGACTGCGCGAGTGCAGATCACTATGAGGCAACTGATCAGTACTAACACAACATGTACTTTAGATCAAATGTCTTGCATCAGTTTTGCACAATTCGCACAATCAACTTACAACGATTGTTTGATTCAAGCATTCTAAAAAGATGAAAACAAACGCCTTCTATAATGATTATAAATGAAGAGAGGTTAAATCGGCGATTTTATCTGTCAGAAACACCTAATTTGCGACTTTTCGGATTTTATTGCGAGAATTGCTAGAGTATTTGAATCTGGTGTCGTCATCTATCCATTTCCAAGGACATATTACTTGACCAGCTCTCTGAATGTTCTTTGTTGCACTTTTTGAATTGTTATGAATTGAATGTTCTTATGGATAATCAAAATCTTCGCAAATCTTTCTTCTTCGGTTCGGGTGCAGTAGATTTGTTTACATACATGTTGAGACGCAAAGATGTTCATAATACAATACATATTACGCTCTGAAATGATCCTTAAACAACTCAAAAAATTTTTCCAGATTTTCTCATGTACGTACATCCTTGGACTCCAAATCCCAGTAATTCAGCCACTCAGGCTCAATCTCAATGCCTGATATCGCACTCACTAGCCATGTCAATCTATTTTTTGAAGAAACGAGGACCTTGAGTGAATAAAAAAAAGGTGATGGTCTTTACCGGCATAAAAAAGAATCATGTAGCTCGAGTGAGTTATTTCTACTAATCCAGGCAATAACGGAAACACCAGGCAACTCACTTTTGCATTTTTCATTCCTCCTGTACCTGATATCAATATATTTCGTGCCGCTAGATCGCGATGAATAATGTTCTTCTGTCCGAGGTAGCACTAAAACAGGCAATCAAAAATTTTTGATTAACAATAAGAGTAGTTATTCCTACCATCCCCTGCGCAATCTGCCATGCGAAGTTCAAAAACTCCTTTGTGCACTCGATTTGCTCGTCAATAGATCTATTCTAGAATTTTAGGGAGTTGAGTAAACTTAGAATGGAAGGTGAAAATGCTTACTATTTCCAGCTCAACCCTCCTTTGTTTCAGGTATCGTAGAAGATCGCGACAAGCGCAGAACTCTATCACGAGACAAGTCTTTGAAGCGGCTGTTATACAACCCAACATACAGACGATGTTGTCGTGACATCCCAGCGTTTTCATCTCAATAAATCCAAGTTGCGATTTCTGTCTTTTGGAACACACTTATAAAAGAAAATTACCAGCTCAATTTCATGCATGAACTCCTTTCTAGTGCTGTCAGACGCGTATTTAGGCATCATCTTTACCGCGCAATCGCAATCCGTGAATCGAGCTGCTTCAGTTTTATAGTAGCGTTGTATCCCAGGTGAAGGACCAATGAGCTTTCCTAGAAGTACATAGCGCTAACGAAAGTAAGCTATTAAGAGATTAGACAATAAACATATTTTTTGGAATTTTAACCTTGTTTCAAAATCATACGCTTTGTTATTCTAAGCTTCGACTTGTTAATAATGCGATTACTATTGCATTTCCTAAAATCAATGCGCATCTGTCTGTTATCACGCAGTATCGCGGCTTTTAAAGAAGTGAAAAAAGTGAGTGGTGTTTGGTATTTTATTTGAGAGAGCATTGAAGATCAAACGTTTGTGGAAGTTGGTGCTAGCCGAATACTTGTATTATTTTTTTTGCATATGAATGGTGATTAATGTTCTAATGTTTAGTATTTCAGATCACCAACAATAAACCATTTAGAGAAACTCTTCAAAGAAAAAAAATGATTTGTAAGGTTTTGTACTGGCAAATTCATTGCTAAACATTTCCAGAGCAAACGCACCTTTGTACACTTGTCCATATGCACCATGCCCCAGTTGCTCATTCTTGATGATCACTTTCTCAGGCGAGAGCTCCCAGTAATCAATTCTGCAAAGCCTAATTAATTTGAAATTACGATATTCTGATTTCGCTTCAAAAGAGCAAGTGAAGAAAATATTGGGTCGTCTCATAATTTCCGTTTTTTCATTTTATCCCAATAACCCTCATTTTTCTTGACCTTCAAAGCTCCAGTGTATCTATCCAAACTGTCCAAACTTCTGCCAAGAGTTAGCTAAATCTTTCAGAAAACCGAAAACTTGAAGAATATTCAGAACTTCATTCCAAAAATCTCTAGGTGGCTCTGACTTGTTCAAGCTTATACAGACGAGTCATTTCATATGATAATGTGTGTCATTGCACACACAGTCCACCTTTGTCGTTTCCATCCCCATCCTGGATTCTTGGAGGAAACAACCCTTTAGGTAAGTGTTTTCAATGTGGTCTTCATATTTTCTCTCCCTCTTGGGTACTAATCACTTCGAGTTGATGTAATCGATAACAAACGGTAAGTCTTTTGCGTTTTTGCAATTGGAAGTCCAGGATGAGGACGCCAAAGGTGGACTGTGTTTGCAATGACACACATGATCATATGAAATGACTAGCTGGCTTGCCCGGCTCCGCCGGGCCTGCCAGCTAGACCCGTGTACGTATGTTCCGAATAGAAATTTTTATCTCTGAACCGATTGGGACCGAACTTTGCACACATACACTTCGGGGCAGGGAGCGTGTCACAGCCCACTTTTCGTTATCGATCGATGTCGATTTTACCGATTTTTTGCAAAATTTGAGCTAGGGGGCTAGGATTTTGCACAGGGGGGTAATCGAGCATGCTGATCACCCCTTCGGGGTGATCAGCATGCTCGATTACCCCCCTCTGCCAAATCCCAGCCCTCTAGCTCGAATTTTGCAAAAAATCAATAAAATCGATATCGATCGATAACGAAAAGTAGCCTATGACACGCTCCCTGCCCTGAAGTATATGTGTGCCAAGTTTGGTCCCGATCGGTTCAGAAATAAAAATTTGTATTCGGAACATACGTACACACATACATACAGACAGACATACAGACAGACATACAGACAGACAGACAAACAGACATTCAGCTTTATATATAAGATTCAACTGTACGCTCTTCATCTAACACTTTTATGCACATTTGCTGGTTTTCTAGTGTTAGAAACTGAGCGACAGAATTAGGCCGAAAATACCAAAACATCCCGTTTTTTCGGGCTTTTCGATGCAAAATCTAAGATTTTTCGAAATTTATCGTTCCCAAACGGCTAAAAGTTGTTGGTGGTTATACTTTTGAAGTCTTACGCTATTAAATCTCTACAAAAGCAGAAAATCAGTGTGTGGTCTGTGCACATTTCCCATAGCCATGAAAGATGAGGTGAAGCACATTTCAACCTGCTGGTCATCAAGATATGGTAAGGACAGTAGTAAGCGAACCCAAGAGAATTGGACTCGATTTGCAATGGAAAAATAATCCAGCAAGTGTGCATGCGAATGATAGATAAGAGGTGTATGTGCATGAACAAGTCAGAGTTTGTCAGAAATCTTTCAAACAGAGCTTTCGGGCTTCTGAAAGTTTTCAAATTTCGACTTTTTGCTTGATAAGCTAAAATCAACTTTGTACAAATGTTCTAAGATTACCTTGTGGAGCCTACATTACTCTATTGGAAAGTACCCCGAGTTTTTTTTCTGATAGTAAAGAAGGGAGTTATTGGAGTGAAAAGTATAAAATATAAGTAAATAAATATAAGTGGAAACGAACGGGATTTATGAGACAGCCTATTGACAAAATGAAATATGAAAGATGTCATGACCGTCTTGAACAGGGTGATAGCTTACATCTCATCGTCGTCAACTTCTTTGTCGTCATTATGATGATTTCGGAATCTATTCAACTTCTCCATCCACATGTATTTCTGTCTGTACAAAATGGTCGCCACAATCAAAATTAGTACAGCTCCTGCGCAGGTGCCGATGATGACGAACATGATAGTAGAGACGGAACTTTCTGGAAAACTCCGGTTTCAAAAGTGTATTATGTGAAATCTTGAATTCGAGCCTTTCAGTCAACAACCAGACAGTCTCGCTTGAAATTTGCGTGTACCTTTCTTTCAAATGGATTGGCGGCAGGAAGACGCGATCTAGTTAAGGCTAGAGAATGATCAGGAGAGCATGCTCGCGAGAGAGACGCTGATTGCGTCGCGGGCGTGAGCGCCTTAATTAGGCGGCAAAGCCCCGCCTTCCAGCCGCCAATCCAGTTGAATCAAAAGTTACACGCATGTGCTAGTGAGCGTTTTTCATTTCAATTCATTTCATTCATACGCTCGAGGCGTTCCAAATCAAAAAGAATAAAATGTTAGTCATACATGGAACACAACAGCAACAAAAAACAAATTACCACGTCGTCCCAAGCCCAGTCTAAACGACTTACTAAGAAAGTAATGTAGTAATAATGTGTAAGCTTGCATGACTTGTATCTCGGTTGCACGTAATCTTGTGCTAGCATAGACTTTATGGAGAAGTACCCATGCCCCCTCGTTTGCCAGCAAGGAACGATCTTTATATAATTCATAAAAGCAAACCGGAGGAAGTTCGGGTGGCGGGTATACTGGCAAACCCCGCCCAAACGGTTTGCTGGGGAGGGTCCTGAGCTCCAAGTATAAACAGGAAAGTAGGTTGAGCAAGCGTAGTAAGAATCAGCAAGCCGTATGAATAGTAATTAGCTGGTAGTCAGGCTGGGCCCAAAACTACATGGTCTAGTCGAGTTAGTAGAAGGACAAATCTAGCAAAGCAGAGAAAAAAAAGTAGAACATGTTGAACACATGTACTGGTTGAATCGGAAATGCGCACGGATGGCAAGAGAGCATGAAGCGATTGGGAGCGAGCTCCACTAATTGCACAATCACCAGCTGACGTAATAAGACCGACATAAATTAACCAGGCCATAAATGAAGGTTCCAAAAACCGCGCAAGAAAACCTGAAAAAGAAAAGAACACTTTTAAGGATAGGTGCGAGAAAGGAAAAATAATGAAAAAAAAGTAATCAGAAGTAAGGACTTGCGAAATTGAACTGGTAAGCTGTTCTTATTGAACAAAAAACCTAAATCAGACTTAAAACGAATAAAAAAGTATCAACAGAGGTACGGTCCGCAATGCAAAATACTAGGGACATCAATCTTTAGCAAACTTCTTTTGAAAGCCCAGCTATTTTTGGAAGTTAATGATTTGGGAGGCAGTCGATGGAGCCAGCGTGCACAGCGATAGAATAATGAGTTGAAAAGACCGGAATAGAAGCTCTTTTGTAACCTAGGATAATGTAGATTAAAGCCGCCACGCCTAGAACTAGCAGGCCTAAAGATTCAAAACTGCTAGCTCTCAAATCAACCTCTCTTCGCAATATACGGAAACAAAAAACTAAGTCAGCCACTATCCTCCTACTCGTCAGCGATTTCATTCCAAGCATTCTAAGGCGTTCCACATAAGATGGAATGTCTTCTCTGGATATACTTCGCAGTTTGCGATAGAGGACCATTTTCGTAAACACTCGCTGAACTCTTTCAAGTTTTAGGGTCTCCTTTCTACATGAGGGGTTGCATCTTGAAAGCAGTACTCAAAATGAGGGAGCACACAGGCTTTATACAGTCTGAAGAGAGTGTTTTCATCACATATATGAATGTTGCGAAAAATAGCAAACAGCGAAGAGTACGCTCTTTGCACGGCATAATCAATGTGTACAGTAAATTTCAACTGGGAATCAATCAAAACACCTAGGTCCCGGACCGATGAACACATTGTCAAAACAAAATCATTCACTTCATAATCGAAAGGTCTCATTCTCCCAAAATGCAGAAAGGAGCACTTGCTAAGATTCAGAGAAAGACTATTACGCATTGCCCAACAGCTCTATCTTTCAATGAATGATTGAAGTGCAGCATGCATAGCATGATGATCCTCTTCTCTATAACAGACGTACAGCTTAATGTCATGCGCATAAATCTGTACACTCAGTCCACCCAAAGTCAAAAGGGAAGGTAGCTCCAAAGTGAAGATAAGAAAAAGAAGAGGCGAAAGTACCCCACCCTGGGGTACTCCACTAGCACATTGATATCTATTGGAAAAAGACTGCCCAACCTTGACTGTAATAAATCTATTTTCAAAATAGGATCGGAACCACTGCAATAAATTTCCATCTACCCCATAGCTTTGTAATTTGGATAATAGTACATGGTGAGGAATTTTATCGAATGCTTTCGATAGATCCACATAGACAACATCGACAGACAACCCTGCATTAAGAGCTTTTCTCCAATCAAAGACACTTGCAACAAGATTAGTAGTAGTTGACCTACCAGATAAAAAACCATGAAGTTCAGGAGGTATTGGATGGAAATTTCTTAGCCAATGAAACAGTTTTTTTTCTGATGATTTTTTCCATAACTTCGATTGGAGTGGTGTCAGACTTATGGGACGAGAATCAGATACTGTAGACGCAGATCTAGTTTTTGGAATTGCAGTAACGATGGCTTCCTTCCACGAACTGGGTACTTCACAAAAATTAATGGAAAGATTAAATAGCTCAGAGAGAGGTTTCGAAAGTGAGTCAGCACAGCACACTTTTTGTAGACAATAGGAGGAATACCATCGTAAGGCTCAGTGCATAATGAGCTAAAAGACCCCAAGATAGCATGAACATCAGCTGACCGAAAATGTATAGTATTACAAGTTTGAGGAAGATCAAAACGGTTAACAGAAGAATCACCTCGGAGATCTTGTGATACAGTAAAAACACTTGCAAAATATCTAGCGCTTCTGCTTTCTCACCGTCATTCACATAGCTGTTCCCACTATCATCACAAAGAATGGGGAGATCAGTGCTGTTCTGAAGCTTATGCCGCAAATAACCAAATAGTTTTTTAGAACTTTTACTACTTGATAATCTACGTTCAAAGTTTGATAGAAACTTTTTTAAATGAAAGGCTAAATCAGAGCATACTTTTTTATACAAATGGTTTGATAAAGCATCATTCATTTTACCGAACAAATTGTGTTTTTGGTCAATAAGAGCAACTATATGTTTAGGACAGCGAAGGTCATTGAATCCAAGATTTCGTAGGCGTCCATATCTACTTAGGCCTTCGTAAACTTTTGAACAAAAAGTTTGGGAATATTCATTAAGCCCCGAGCAGTTATCATAAACCGTATCCCAGTTGACATTTGCAAAGTACTCATTAAGACCTGCATAGTCAAAATTGGGAAAGTCAGGAATTGGATACGATGTTTTACCATAACAGCTTCCTTCTACTTGAAATCGTACGACATTGTGGTCAGCAGAAGCAATAGGAGGATAGATTGCAACATTATTGATATTCCGGGTATTTGAGAAGATTAAATCCAAAGTTGCATTACCATGAGTTGGTTTGCAAACAAATTGTTCAAAACCACAATCTTTAAAAAACAAATAGAGGCTTGGAACTTTGATCAAGCTTAATATGATTCTTCCAGTCAACGTGGAGGTTGAAATCTCCCAATAAAACAACAGCTTCAGATGAGACTGATCACTAGTTCAGCAAGTTGTTCATCATCATGCTGTGTACTGCTCGGAGGACGATAAATTAATGAACTTAAGTGGACTGTAGCTGGAGGGGCAAAAGAGTTCAACGGAAAGCAAATCGTGGATACCGTAAAATGATTAATCTTTTTAATGGAAATATCATTTTTAACAAGGCAACATACACCTCCCCCGATTCTTTTACACCGATCTTTACGATGGACAGAATAGGGCAAATCATTCACAACTTCAGAATCTCGTATTTTGGAGGTAAGCCATGTCTCAGTTATAAATACCAAATCTGATTTATGTCGGCAAAGGAAAGAGTGGAGGTGGTCTATCTTATTTACAATACTGCGAGAGTTGAATAAAAAACAGTTTAATTTTTTCAAAGCACCATGCGGATTCATTGCCCTTTATAGACAACCCATTCACGTGTTGCTTGTCCCCTATTGCGCTCTCTAGCCTGTTGGCGCAGGTCATATTCCATCCTCCGTTCTTCCTCCGTCATACTACGACGTATGAAAATGTTAGGAAAGGAAGAACGGAGGATGTGGGCGCTGGACAACACGGACCTCCAATAAAACTTAGAGGGGAGAACCACTTTAACTAAACGCGGACGAGGTTCTCCACTCTTACCAATCCTATATAGCTCACTCGCGCTACAGTCCACATTAAGAACATTAAAAATATCAACGACCTTTTTCTTGAGATCAGCAGCTCTTTCACTAGCACTAAGACCCTCGGGTGGTTGCGATACCCCACTGATTACAACGGTCCGAGACCGCTTCTCACCTTCCACTGCACTATGGATCTCCTCCTGTAATTTGTTTATTCAACGCATAGTTTTTGTGAATCTCGTGTAAAACCCGTGATCGTTGCACAAATAAGTGACCCACAGAATGCAAAGTTTTGTTCATATTTCCGCGTAGGTTATTAGCAAATATTGCAAAAATACATATTTTGCTTTTTAATAGCGCATAAAATGAAAGCATAACTATCCTACTAGATTTTCATACATGGTCAAGTGTCGTTAGTATTAGATTGTTCCCAAAGTCATTTCGCTTTTTTTACAGACTGCAACATTCCACAGAACAAAGGTCCTTAAAAGCAAAACCAGAATCTATACTTCTCAGTTTTTTATATGGAGTATATGTAAGACCCAAAAGAAGACCAACTGCGTTGGTCCACTCTCCGGATGTTGCTTCTGAGGAGAGAAAACGCGCCTGATTCTTTTTGCGTTCCACCCCTTTTTTGCGTTCCGTCTTTCCGGACGAATCCACGGCAGCGTGAACTGTAAGCGTACGCTGGAGTTGCTGTTGCAACGTCTTTTGGGGGTTCTGAATTCAAATTTCTCAACTGTGATCAAGGCACGGAAAAGCTACAGGATGGCAAAAACATGGGAGGCGAAATTTTGGGTTACGCTGCCTTCAAAAGGTTTTGGGTGCGTTCGATGACTTAACGGAAGAGCAAACCCCATAGGATACAAAGTAGATTTTTTCCCTTCTGATTACCTTCGGAATTTGAAACTTTTGAAGGTGGTCTGTTATCCAAGAGATACTTCACAAAGTACATAAGTTTGCGGATTTGAGTCAAGTCTCGTATCAATTACCGCCTGAGGTGCACTCAAACATGAATTTTGATGATATTATCCTTATCCCCCGAGGAATTCACGAATCGGAAACAAAAAACCGTTAGAAATATTAGGTTGTCAAGAAAATAATGTCGTTTTTTATTTGCTTGCTTTAACAAAGCAACCGGACTCAACCCAACAAAGGGTAATGGGTGTTGTTCGATAGAGCAAAGCAAGCTCTACAAGATGGCTTCATGATTTTGCGCCAAGCGCGATCCACGGAAAGTTCGAACTCAAAATCTGAAGATTTCCAAATGCCCAAAATCGAAAAAAAATCAGATCTTGGTCCAAATAATTTCTACGAACCTCTCACTCGTACACATCACTACTTTCGATATCTGGTATCCATATGTGCAGCTGCTGTACTTTTTCCTTGACTAGAAGCTGAACAAATGAAAATTTTCGTGTTTTCCTAAAAGCAATGCTGAGCCGTTCTTGCATATGTGATTCTATACTACAAGCCTAGGTAAGTATAACTGTAGGTTTTCAGCCTATTTCGAATGGTACTTTTCGAGAAATGTCGATTTTAGCACTGAAACTGAACCGAAAAAATCCGAACTCGTTATTTTTCGAAAACTACAGCTTGGAATGGGCTGAAAATCTACAGTTATACTTACTTAGGCTTGTAGTATAGAACTACATATGCAAAAACGGCTCAGCATTGCTTTGAGAAAATCAGGGGAATTTTCGTTTTCTTGTTTTCTAGTCAACGAGAAAATACGGCAATTGCACATATGGATATCAGATATCGATAGTATTGATATGAGCGAGTGGGAGGTCCGTAGAAATTATTTGGACGAAGATCTGATTTTTTTCGATTTTTTGGGCATTTGGAAATCTTTAGATTTTGAGTTCGAACTCTCCGTGGATCGAGCATGGCGCAAAGGCATGAGTGCCATCTTGTAGAGCTTGCTTTGCTCTATCGAACAGTACCCCTTACTCTTTGTTGGGTTGAGTCTGGTTGCTTTGTTAAAGCAAGCAAATAAAAACGCTCATTATTTTTGCACCAACCTAATATTAGAAAGACTAGGAAAAGTTGCATCGGATAACGTCTGCGTTGCCCGCCGTCTGTTGTTCTATAAATTTGAGTTAACCAAGTACACATAAATAAAATTGATGGCATCAAAAAATAAGTTTAAATTAAAAAAAACAAGCAATGGAAGAGAGACAAATTTGTTTATCATCTGCATGTTTGGCTTTATTTGATCACTACTTGGACTTCCGAGGGGTTGGTATGAAATTTTCAATCAACGAAACTTGAAAAGACAAAAACCATGGACCGTACTGGCTTTTGAAATATTTATGTTAAAAAATTACTTTTGGAGGACTTAATAATTTCTAGATATGCCTAAGTCTCACGGGAAATTTAAGGGCACAGACTCAAACCCGCTCAAGTTGCTGCAAACCTTTTTGCTTTTAACTCAAAAACAAAATCAAAGAATTCTTAGTTTTTGAAGAAGTTAGTCGTGTTTTTTGGAAGAAGGAGCATCCTAAGCAAGCCTAGCGTCATATCCTTTTGTGAAACATAATTGACATAATTGAATTATATGTAACATTATTTAGATGAAGCATCTTGAAGTGGCAGCTTTTCCGACAAACTGGAAGCATACATCTAAGTGAACCAGAAGATAATAGAGATCTTTTCCAAATGAGACAAAGAGCTCCTTGGTATTAGTCTGTGAAATAGGGTATCTAGAGCAAGGATGACGAACAAGGCTCTATTTCCCATAAAAAGGCGCTTTTTTTTTCATTCAAAATCTCCGACATTTGGATAAGTCGTTTCATATTTCAGCACAGTTTCTGAAAAATTCTCAAAGCCCAAAACCATACTTTGAAAGCAGTGTTGGAAGGACGACGATAGTAGGCAGCAAAGACTCACTTTTATTCGGACACAACTCTATCATATTTTTTGGACTATCGCCATAATTGGGATCGCGGATAATGTGACTTCGAGGAATAGCAGTTTGGTTCTGGTACATCTCTGCGGCCACCTTAACCGCCGTGATTATGAAATCGGACCAAAGATAGGATACTTTGATCTACCGTATTGAATGCGATAATCTCGAAATAATATGGTTGCAACTGCTTCAGCAGTGATCCATTTACATCATCATAGGCGGCAACGAAATTCTGAAAAAGCTATTATCAACAGAAGAGAAGTTCTAAAATTGTGCATATTTACACTCAATTGACAGAAAAATATGCTCTTGCTAGTTCTTCTCAGGGCTCAGATAGCTGTATAATCTTACGGACGGTAATTCAGCAACCGAAGACTAAAGTCCAAGTTATTTTTCCTGCACGTTTAGCCGTAAAAGTGCTTAAAGTTGCATTATAATTGTAGCAGCAAGTAAATAAAGGCTTGTGGCAAACTCCTTGCTCAGAAAAACTGCCAAAAAGAGGGAGATTATAAATCAAAATTGCTGAATGTCAGTGAAGCTTTCTAGTGCATGATGGCGATAGAAAAGTTCGCGGAACATTTACTCGAAAGAAGGGCTGCTTGTATACTTTGACGTTGACTGCGTCTACTTTCCTGTAGATGTTTTAAACCAGTATACTCTTATAACAAGTCGTTGCGGAAGTGTTTCGCTCCAATGGTAATTCGTAACTTCTTGTTGTCCCAATAGGTTTGCTTGACTTATTTTGCTATGAAGAAAAGGTCGTGAGCTTTTTGATTGTCTGCGTTCTACTCGGTACAAGTTTCACGAGATGCAAGGAAATGGCTAAAATTTTTACCATCTTAATCAGGTGACTGAAAATCTGAAGCGCTTTACTAGAATAATAAACTGCTAATTTATAACATTCCTGGCCTCTTTTTGACTGAGCAACATATGTGCTAAACTACGCCTGTGAGAAGAGTTATGAATTCAACAATTTATCGTAAATTTCTACGAAAAGTCTGACGTTCAGTTATACACTCCTGTTGTTTGAGAGGGATACTCTACAAAACTTACAGTAGTAAAAGATTTAATTTACTGCAACGTGCTTGAGTGATCCTCCTCCTTTCTTTCTTTCTCTGAGTATGTGTTGGATAAAATCGAGCCAAAAAGACTTGGCAAACTACATGACTTTTTTACCTTGAAAAGTTGATAACGAGCAAATGAATTAAGACAGCAAAAAATTATTATACTAAAATTTTTAGAAGTTCAGTCAGCGAAATTCAAGCCCATCAAGTTGAAACTTCGTATGAATAATCTCAAAATATTGAGAACCAAGCAGGGACACAGTGCTGTCTTGAATGGAAGAGTGATAACTGTATGTATAAAAAAGCTTTTGCGCATGAAAAGGTAAAGGTCTTTGCAAGTTCGTGAAATATTATATCAAAAAAGGCAAGTTATTTTAATTTTATATTTTCGCTTCCTTTTAGGTGTCCACATATTGTGTTCCTAGTTCAAGAGCGTGGCAGAAGTTGTGCGGTAGCACATTCTTTTGTTGCTGTTTATTCTCTCACTGTACCCCTCTATTATATTGTTCGCTCAATCACATTAGAATGAGCTTACATTAGAGATTCATACATATACGCAAACGCTTTACTGCAGCAAAGTGTGCAAAGTTTGACAAATTGTTTCATTTATGGCACTAAGTAACTCAATAGTTATCTAGCAAATGCTCAAAACCTAACCTGCGAGACGAAATCGGTGAGCAAAGTGATGCGCGGTTCATTATCTGTGGACGTTTGCCCTTCCTTGATGTTCACTGCTTTGTTGACGAGGATCAGCGTAGTGTTATCGTAAACGTCTACCGTTTCGGCTAGAACTACGACAAATCAGCTTTCAAAGCGTATCCGAGAGGTCTAGCAAAGTCGAAGGCTCACTTGCATCCAATAAAACTTCATCGGCGCTGAGTGTTTCAAGAAATTTGTTCACATGCTCAAGGCGAGTCAGCCAGCCAGAGTCGACGTTGTTTTTCGCCAAAAATCGCACTGCCACCTTGTCGTTTGACTTCTGTAATATTTTCTGAATTCAGAAAGACACTTGATACTTAATCAAAAAAATTCAAGTATAGCTCACAGCACAATGTTGTAGTGGAGTCGCGATAAATTTGACAGCTCGTTGGAACTCGTCATTGGTGGTCCTATTGGAAAGTGCGAAGAGATAGATGATATGCCAGTAGTCGCTCAGACTCGGATCCGGTGTGGTCTTCAAGGATATTCATCACTCTTGAGCCAGCTACAGTATGACGGGTGCATCCTACCGTAGTCGTCGTTAGCAATTCTGTGGTGGTGACGGTAGTGGTCGTGGTGGTCGTTGGATATGGACACTTTGTCAGCTGCTCGTTTTGACAGTCAGTGGCACCTTCTACGCCACACGGTCTTATGCAATCCTGCAGAAAACTGTATTACAATTTTGAATTATTCAAATTTTTGCGTGACTAATGTTTGAGTCATCTACTCAAACAGTCGAAGAATACTTCCGGCGGGCAAATGGCGCAAGTCTGCCACTTCGAGCTCTGGAGCGCTCCGGAGTCCTGCCATTTCACCCATTTTGGTGCTTCGGGGCTCTCCCAAAACTGGCGCACCTCCGGAGCAAAGATTTGCGCGTCCCGGAGAGGGGTCCCCTTCGCCTGCTTGTGATGTCACCATGACGTCACATTGACGTCACGTTGAACGAATGGGATTCCTTTCCGGGACGCGCAAATCTCTGCTCCGGAGGTGAGCCAGTTTTGGGAGAGCCCCGGAGCACTAAAATGGGTGAAATGGCAGGGCTCCGGAGCGCTCAGAGTGCGAGGTGGCAGACTCGCGCCATTTGCCCGCCGGAGGTATCCCTTCGACTGTCTGAGTATTAGGTCAGCTAAAAAATAAATTATATTGGGTTTGAGAATTTATAGAATTTACAGACTGATATCTGTATGACCTTGGGAAAGCAGATTAGGTGTCTATTTGTGTCACAGCAATTATTTTTGTAATGACTGATAGTGTAGAGAGGACACCCAAATCTTCCCACTAAATTTTCGAAAAAGCATGGTACAAAAGACAGAATGAAGTTGGACGTAAATGGACGTACGTGAGTAAACAAGATTCAGAATTTAGTATTTTTGACAATTACAGGATGATCAACTCAAACTCAAGCGATCTGGACTACCAAATCGACTTCCATACACAAATGTTAGAAACTTCTCACATTTTTGCTCGCACACAAAATTGCATATCTACTCAAGACCGGCACGCCATATAGCAAGAAAGTGAATGTTCCAGTCATCAAGTTACCTCATCTGTGAACTTTCCGCGGATGAAAACCAAATATTCGAAAATTTTATTGTATGAAGAAACAGCTAACATTCTTGCATAGAAATTCTTGTGTGAGTGTGTATAATATCAGAGTTTTGAAACTGCCTTTGCACAAAGAATCTTAGCCCGTGAAAAGCTATGCGTACTTCACAGAGTTACATAACTATGTCAAATGAAGTTATTTCTTATCCAACCAAATAAAACTTACGGTAGTTTGTGTTTATCAGCGAAAAGCTCCACTTACGTCAAGATTGGTGATGCAGTTATAGCCCGGAACTACGAATAATCGTTGCGTATAAGTGGAATAGTAATCGAACATCATTTCCTGACTGATTCCAGTGTTTCCAAGAGCGACTACTGTGAATGTGATACATCCATAGTTGACGATATTTGAGATATCCTACAAAAAACTCATGCACACGTTACTTTTCATGTAAAGAAAACTATATAAAATCAAAAATACTGCATAAGCTAGGAAAAAGAAAACATGAATGAACAGGAAAACATGAAACATGTGATACAGAATTTTTCTGCAGAAAAACTAAGGATCTGCACTGACCTTTCCCAGTACCGTTTGATTTGTTATAAAAATCCTATTTGTTAACAGCACGATTGTATTATACAGGCACTTCGTTTTCGGCTGTGCAAACTGCTTCATCTAAAAAAATCTCGGTTATAACTCAGGCTAATTCAACTATTTACCCAAAGAGAACCAATGATTTCTGCACTTCCGTAGTTTTTTTCTATTACACATTCTGAGGGCATGCGGATAGCTAAAAACAAACTTACCAAACCAACGAGTGAATATGTAAAATTGGCTTCTTGCGTTTCATTCTGGACTGGTGCCAACGTCTCATAATTGACAACATAGTCCCAGTAGTCCATAAGTCCAATCTGCTGGCTACATACATCCGTTGCGCAGCAAACTGTTTGGATAGACTAAAGTAAAACATTTTATACTAGCAGGTAAAGATCACTTTATGACTCTGATTCCTTACGAATTGCTTTGAATACGTAGGGCATATTTCAAATGTTGACTTTTCTACTGTATATTTTTATCTTCTTAACATTTAGCACTGATAAAGAGACAGATTAGCTGATGCTTGGTCAACTCATTAACTTCATTTAAAAATAGGAGAGCCTAAAAACTTACGGAGTTGAACATAGGATAAACATAGGTACGATAACCAATGCCTCTTGACATGCATGCAGCGATCGTGTCTCGAATAAAAAAGCGAACATTAGCGAAATCGTCAACCGAGGTATAAGTCCTATCCAAATCCAAGATCACCGCAATGCCGCAGTCGCGTTGGACCTATAAACTGGCTTTTGTTGATTGAGTTGTGCAATCTAGTTCTCCAAGAACCTACATATGTCTGGGCAGATGCATTGAGCACTGGAGGAACTTTGATATTCGCAAATGAATCGGTTGTGCACGAGTCAGACGGAGCCCAAGTTGGCGTAGGATCATTTCCATCAGTAGCTAAAAACAGCGTGAGTCAAGTCAATTTTGAACAAGGCGAGTTTTTTAAGCTCCAGTAGAAAAAAGTTATGAAGGAATTTTGTTACTGTATTCGCAGACAAACTCGTTAACAATATAAGTGGATGCATAGTGATCAAATATGCTCAGAAACAGTTTTGATAGGAAATTAATCAAACACCAATGTTACTCTGTTGAAATGGCGAATATGTTTGAAGAGTAATATCGAAAAGCGTAAATGTTTGGATGAAATTATCGACAGTGGCTGAGTGAAAGAATCCTACTTATGATTCCAGTATTTTTTTTTGAATGTCTACGGATACAAAACTCGCAGGTATTACACTCGTAAGCAATTAACTAGCAAAACAAAAATAGGACCACTACATATTGTACAGTGGTTTTGCTTAAAGTTTGGTGTTCGTTCTTTATAGAGGCATAAAATACTCACTTTACTTCTTAGCTACACAAACAGAAAGAGGAGAAATTATTTTTCAAAATCGCAATGTTTTTTCTTGCTTCTTAGAAGGATAAAGCAAATTAGAGCCAGAAAGATAAGATCCACAGCTGTTACGACTTTTAGTTCCTCTAAGCGATTAATTTGCGTAGTTCAATATCGCATGCATGTCGATGTCGAATAATCGAGAAAAAACTTAAGAACTACGTAAGATGTCTTGAGGTCGTAAGCTCAAGAATTTGTGCCACTATCTACGTTATCAGTAAGTGTGCTACGAGAAAGAAAGCCAACACAAAGTGTGAACCATGACTCATAGCTCAAAAATTCGCAAAGGAACGGCACTAAGTATGAAAACAGCAAATATGCCGTTTCTATGTAAATTCTAATGAGAATTTTGCGGCAACGGTGCCTATGCCCACGTCGAACGTTCGAAAGATGTCCTTTTTCATGAGATGAAGACCACTTTGACAGAAGGTTATTGAGCACTCAGATTCGATGGTACCGTAGAATGGTGGGTACCGTCAACAACTTAGTAAAGAATATTTCAATCAAGAACAAAATTTGACTTGCTTATACCACAGCTTACAAGTATTAAAGGTTGAGTTATTTGAGATCCTAGTAGACATAATACTGTGTTGAAAAGGGAAGAGAGAGGTTAAAGGATACTACTCGTACTTTCTCATATTGAAGTTTATATAACGAATTTCATGACCACGGTCATGGCAAATCATCCTTGAGCACCCTCTACGCTTATATTCTGTCTTGGTATAGAGAATAGAGAATACGAGGCCTGTTAATGGCAATTATACGAACGTCAAGAGTCGATACAGGAACAAAAATCGCAATGGGATAGCATCAGTTTCACAAAATTCCTGCTTTAATAAATGGTTCCCCAGAGCAACCTCATTTACAAACAACTTACAAGGGAACCATGTCGAGTCGAAGTGGCCTTTCCAGATGAGACCCATACTGCCTTGAAGAGCAGTAGTCGGTGATTCCAAATTTGCTTTCCAAATCTGCCAAGCGCCTCTGGACGCCGAGTTATGCTCGTTTTTCAGGTCAAAAAATTGAGCGCAAAACTTAAGCAAATTCGCCCAAATTTGCTCAAATGGTCCAGTGTCAAGTATCAGAGCTGTTTACGCAATGGATACATCTTATTTAATTTGCTAATACTTAACATTGCTTTATCTGAGCGCTGGAAAGATTGTAACAACCAATTTTACCTAAAGTCTGCATTCATTATTCGTTCCAAAGAACGGTCATAACTCGGCGTCCAGAGGCGCTTGGCAGATTTGGAAGGAGATTTGGAATCACCGCTCAATACTCTTTGAAGCAGTATGGATCTCATCTGGAAAGGCCACTTCGACTCGACACGGTTCCCTTGTTAGCAGGAAATGGTCAGAAATTAACCCAACCATACCATACATGCTGTACATCATCGGACTCGTCTTAAAACGCTGGTCACAAATATGTGTTTGCTATTTGTCAAGCGACTATCTGGCAGGAGTTATGAGCGTTTAAATGTGCCATTTGTCAAGTGTTCTGTAGCGCATGTCGCACGAAATAGGTTTCGAAAACACTTATTTTGATTTTTGATGAATGCGCTCCATCCTTGTAAATAAAGTAATCATAGCCACTGTAGATTTGCGCCATTAGGCTACCTTTCGAGGAAATATATGCGTTGAAACCTGAAAACTTCTCATATTTGAACCCTCATAACTCCTTCCAGATAGTCGCTTGGCAGATAAAAAACATGTACTATACATATTTAAAATAAGCGTTTCAGGATGAGTCCGATGATATACAGCTTGTCTGGAATGGCTGGGTTTAGTTCATTTCCCCTTAGTAGCAAATAAAACCAATCCGAGGACTGAGAGCAAGATGAAATAAACTACAATTTGGAAAAAGAGGAGACTGGATAAGCTTCATAAAGATACAGCAAAAAGAAGACCCAACAATTTCGGCAACTTTTGCTAAGCTTGGACTAAACTTATATAGTGATAAATACATAATACCAACTCACCACAGAACTGCTGGGAAATTAAAGGTGCGATAGCAACGAGCAGAAGTATGGAGAATAAAGTCCTCATCTTCCCATGGGTAATCCGAAATGCCTGACGTAGGACGAAATTGGCAAATTTAACTTCAAATTAGCTATGTGATGCAGGAGAAGAAACTCTATAAAAATAGTAACATGGATAGTCAGCGATTACGCAAAGCAATCAAATAATATGATTTGACATTTTTGCGATTGAATATGCACTCTGAAGCTGTTCTTCAATCAATAGCAGTAGCGAATCGTCGCTGATAAGGAGTTGATCCTATTGACTAATTCATTAGTAACGCTTAACAAGCTTTTTCTACCACCATTTTGCGTAAAAGTTCTCTTATCGTTTGCTGACACTTTTGAAGAACAACGTAACAAAGAATTATGTCACGTTTGAGCAATGAAGAACGTGTCATCATCTCCGTTTGGCTCTTACAGGGACTCAACTCACACAAAATCTTTTCAAACGAAGAATGCAATGACACAAGATGTTCAAGGGTGACGATGACTTAGTGCGAAAAAGAGAACGAAATAAGCTTATTAATTGACTTTCAAGATTTGTTGCTGAGCAGAATTAGGGATTGCAACGAATTGTTAATATTCTGCCTCACAAATTATTTCAAATGGATTAGGGATCTGAATGTTGTCATTGTTGCTTGGCGAGTTCTTTTTTGAACTTGCATAGCAATCATTTTCTCTACTAAACATAGTGAATTTTTATACCTGTATGCATAAAAACGAGAAAAGGCTATAAGAACAAAAACTGAAATTTGACAAGAAATGGAGGTAAATCGATTCACTAACAACCTTCCAAACCTAGCGGAAAGCAGAAGATAACGCATGTAGAGTCGTTAAATTTGGTCGTAAAATAATATCATCGAGCTGAAGGCGTTAATTTCTAGAGCATTTCATTTTTACAAAAAATTTGCCACCAGCCTTTTTTTCTTATAAATCTTATAAATTGCTAGATGAGTCTCTGATCTTGTAACTCAGATATTTTTTCATTCTCTAAGGGTAGTGTGGGCAATCTTAGACAGCTTGAGCTCTTCCACAATACCGCTCACATTTTTTGAAAAATAGACGCGAATGTATGGACATGTATGGACATGTACGGATATGTCCATACATGTATGGACATGTATGGATATGTCCATACATGTATGGACATGTCCGTACATGTCCATACATGTCCATACATTCGCGTCTATTTTTCAAAAAATGTGAGCGGTATTGTAGGGAACTAATTTTAAAGACTCAATAACTCGAACGCTGAGACTAACGCAGTAGACGAGAATTTCTATTTGCTTTCAGTAGGTGATCACTGTTTTCTGTAGCGTTGCAATCATCTATGAGCCGTCTGACAACTTGAATGTCGTACTTCCAACCGTAATGATAGTGAGGTATTCGAGCAGTCTATTGCACCGTAGAGATACAAAGTTTTCATAGTTCCTCTGTTTTCCCATCTACTGATGTCATCACTTTATGATCACGCTCGCTTGAATAGGCTATATCTGGATATTCTCCAAGACATCAGTGTATAATTCCATAGTTTACAGTCAGAGAAATCTCTTAGTTTTGAAGCCCTCCACGCGAACTGTACATTATATCCATTTACTGTACATAACCAAAAGACACATAATTCAAAAGATGCCTTAATAAGACCTCTGATGAATATACCCAAAGTGGCAACTAAATCCGCTGGACGTCCTTGCATCCGAGTGGAGTAGTGTTTGAAAGAAGCGCCACACGGATAGAGGGTTAAAAATGCGTCTGATAATATTAGGTTGGACCGAAAGTTCGTTCGCATCAATTTCAAAAATTCATAATTTCTGGTTTTTAAAACGGATTTGCGTGATTCTTTCTTTATCTGAAAGAGCAATTCATTTTCTTCATAGCGGTATCTTAGCGGCGTTCTAATGAGCATACACTGCATAGATATAAGCGGTATAAGAAAATTACTCAAATTTTCAATTTTCTGTGTTGGGTCCAAAAAAATTGAAATGTGCAGCAAAAATCGGAGCAGTCGGTATTATAGGTCACATTACCAGCTTTTTCTAACTGTGCAAAGCTTGTGTTGCTTGAGCGTCTCCATGAAAAGTTATGATTTTTGAGAAAAATGCCGAAATAAATCATCGCCCTTTTGTATTGCTTGTTCGAAAATCATAACTTTTGATAGAGACGTTCAACCAGCACAAGCTTTGCGCAGTTAGAACGAATGGGTAGTAGAATTTATAATACCAACTGCTCGGATTTTTATTGCAAGTTTAGAATTTTTTATGACCCTACACAGAAAATTCGAATTTTGACTAATTTTCTTCTACAGCTCCTATCTATGCAACGGATGACCATTTGTAAGCAGCTTAGATGCCATTATAAAGAGCATGACTTACTTTCATACAAAAATAAAAGCAGTCAAATCGGTTGGAAAAATCAGAAGTTATGGTTTTTTGAATCTGGTGCGGAAAAACTGCCAACCTAATATTATAGGACGCATTTTTATCCCTCAATCCGTGTGGCGCTTCTTTCAAACACTACTCCACTCGGATGCAAGGACGTCCAGCGGACTTAGTTGCCACTTTGGTTATATTCATCAGAGGTCTTTGGCATCTTTTGAATTATGTGTCTTTTGTATAGTAAATGAATTGAAGTACAGTTCTCCTGAAGGGCTTCAAAACTAAAGGTTTTTCTGATGTAAGCTTTGGAAGTATACACTGATGTCTTGGAGAATATCCAGATATAGCCTATTCAAGCGAGCGTGATCATGAAGTGATGACATCAGTAGTTGGCAAAATTTCAAAGATTTGTGTAAAGTACCCTTTGATTCAACGGGATTGGCGGCTAAAAGACGGGGCTTCTAGGCCTATTCAAGGCCAGAGAATGGTCAGAGAGCACGCTCGCGAGAGAGATGCAAACTGCGTCGCAGGCGCGAGTGGTCGCCTTCCAGTCCCCAATCCCGTTAAATCAATGGGTATTAAAGCATTGAGGCCTGCCTGGCGCTTGAAAGGTGTTATGGCTAGCGTGAGTTTATTAGACTGAAGCCATTACTGCATAAAGCGCCGTGACAAATCATGGCCCGATTTGAGCTCACATACTACAACTTCGAATGATTTTACTGTAGCTGTGCGTTGAAGTTTTTTTGCCGCAAAAAATCCCATATCTTCCAAATGCGATTAGCAGATAAAGAAGGCAGGTTTGAAATCAGAGTTCCATGCTCTATAAGACAGTATACATTTTATTTGGAAAAGCCATTACGACCAAGTATCCTTTCTTTGTTACGTACTACTCCTCCGGTCATAAATAAGTTGAGAGTGATGCACCTGTTTAGCCACGGGGTCACCGTCGGGACTCTTAGGCCCTTGATAATGCGCATGGCGAAGCCTGCTTTCATGTAGACGAACTTCAAATTGCACTGATAGCATTGCTGCCAGGAATTGGTATCCAGGCTATGCGCGCCCCACCCTTGACTGTGTAAAAGAGCCTGGATGCCAAGTTCTGGACTCCACTATATCGCCGTGTTGCGGCTGGTCATATTCCCTACGGATGAATTGTGCCACCCGCTTGGTTCTACCGCAGTCGGAGCCAGCCAACGGGCTTTTGGCTTTATTCGAGAAACTACGCATGTTCTCAGTGGACAACTTGTGTAGTTTATTAAGGTCTCTTACACGCTGGCAACGTCTTGTTTAGCTCCAAAAGCTTTAGTCAGAAATTCTAGAAAGTATACAAATTTTGAACCTTTCCAATTTTTCTTCCCGCGTTTGTTGAAGCAGTCTTTCACAGACTAAGAAAGCATTGCTCGGTAGTAACAACTTCGACAAAATCTGTAACAAATTATCGAATTAACACATTGACGGCCATGCGAATTTCTAGGCGTTTGTTTCTGGAAAGCCTTTCAAGAATCAGCAGAAATTTCTCACATAAAATTATGCAGACTGTCATCCACAGTATTTCTGCGCGATGGAGACTGTTCACCAACATAAAAGTCTTGCCTATCACGGAATCAAAGTCTTGGAGTAATTTATCCCAAATTCATCATTTCAACAAGATGCAAGCCATGCCATACCATGTTGTTATGAGGTCGCCTGTTGAAAGAGTACAAAAGCACAACCGCCTCAGTGGTACTGTCATCATTCTTGCTCGGGTTCTTACTCGGAAAGAGAAAGAGAACAATGCAGACAACGTCAGAAGAACCATTCGCGAAGATAAAAATTCAAAAGGCGCTCCATAAAATAATCTACTCTTCTGCTCTGTTCCTATTCTCTTTCTCACGCTAGCTTTAGGATTTAAACTTCTAAGTAAAAGCTACTCGACTTTTTCTGTTTTCGCTTTGTTTTGCAAAGGGAAGCCCAACAAGCCGTGCTTTTGACGTTCTCTCTCAGATTTATCGAACTCTGATCCATTTGCTATCCTTTTGTATGGTCGCAGCTAGTTCTTAGCATGTCACTTCACTCAGTACTTAATCTCTTTGAATCTATTTCAAAACACCTGCAGCCGTCATACAATCCGTGATCTCCGGTATCCAACGGTTAGGCTTAACCCAAGAAGTCGGTGGTATTAATAAAGCTGGTAGGTCAACGAATCCGGACATTTTTTCATATCGATCCTATCAAGGGCGCTACGTTCGCCTAATTATTGTTGATCATGGCCATCGATGAAAGAAAATGAGCCAGACCGTCGTTGCTTTCAATAACGAAGTCCGAACGCATGGTTTTATCGAAACATAACTTCGACGTACAAACGTTTTGAAAACATTCTCTTATTTAAACTACCAAATCGAAGGGAGCGTACACGTAGCGTACGTGTTAAGAACTTGCATCCTTCTAAGGTAAGTGCGTATTATCGATGTACCGTTGATTTAGGTTGAAAACTTCTTGATGAGTGGAAGCATCTTTTTTATGGTAATGCAGAGAAACGACAAATGGGAAAAGGACAACTGTCTGAGTTGTTCATAGAACATGTTCGTCACATTAACTAATTACTCCATTTAGATTTACAAGCTGTGCGTAGGTCATGGAAACCCATGAGCTAAGGTTGCCCACATTGCTTTCTTCATAGTTCTCTTTTGTCTTAGTGCAATCACTTGCCCCTGCATGTCCATTT